CTTTCAAAACGTATGTTTTTGTTTTATTTACATGAGTAAATTGAAATTGGATAATTAACTATTAGATATTATAATTAACTACCAAAACATTTGGTGTTCAACAAATACCAAAATACTAACTACTCACATTTTAACTAATAAAAAATTCTAAAAATCAATTTCCCATTATAATTTTTACCATCACGCTCTGAGAAATAAAACTCTCAACTTAAAATTAAAAATTATTGTTATTTGGTCAATTTTTTACTATCATTTCGCCTGAGTCGTGGTGGCTCAGGGAGTAGAGCTCGCCTCCCGATGAGGTGTTCGAATCCCAGAATTCGAATCCATACGAATTCTGCACCCGGCTTGTACTGACGACAGTACTGACGTCAAATATTCTCAGTGGTAGACGGATCATGGATTTGAGTTCCCTTGCCGTCGGAGTGTGTAGTTTTCATCTCCATGGAACGCAAATGCGGGTTAAGTCCATCAACATGTCCTCCACGAAGGCAAATTTCACAAATACTTGATGCAGGGGTTCCCTTGTCTTCTTTATTGGGTTCAAAATTACAAGGCTACGGAGTTGGACATTGGTAGTCATTAACTCAAAATTGAGTCGGTTGTTCAATGACGGGTATAATATAAAAACTAAATCATTCCGTCACGAAATTTTGTGATTTTTGACGAAACGCGAATGCTAAATTATTTAACGAAACTGACATCTCACTCGTGTGTCATTTTAGTACACTCTGGGTATGATAAAGCATTTTTTAAAAAATCTACTTTTAAAACAGTTTGCTTTGTATGGCAGGGTGGTGTAGAGGTTAGTGCTTTTGCTTGACTAGCAAGTTCACAAAGTTCAATTCGTGTCTATGACTGAATACTCATTATTTTTTTTAATTCTATATTGCAATTCTTCGTCAATTGAGATAATTCAGATATAATATTAAGCCTAATTCCTTGGACGAAATTCGAATTCTTCAAAAAGTGAATATAGTAATTTCCTTAATCCTTAATTCAATGAAAATTTTACTCGTTGTATTACCTAAGAAAAGGTATATAGTCAATTTCGTTAATTTTGAGTACTTATTTCTTAAAAGTGCACTTAAAAGCAACGGTATTTGTACTTAACTTTAAAACTCTCTTTTTTTAAGGATTAGATCTATACGAGTTGTCTCTAAAAATATGTATTCGTTAACCAGTATAATTGTTTCAAACACAAATAATTCAAAAAGTCAAAGAATGTTTTTAATAAAATCATATCCATTTCTAAAATTCTATAGTTTCTTAGTATCTCTTTTCATCGTTTTATTTCATTTCAACATAACTGCTATTAGTATTGTAAAAAATTCTCTATAATTTTCATTTTCAAGAATCCTTCTGTTTTTCAAAGAAGAATCCGCCTACAATGTTTCAAAGGTGGATTAAAAATTGTATGACCCTTGGGCGGAAAAATGGTAGTTTAAGAAAAGAAACCATTTTGACTCATAATAGTTCTTTGAAAAAGTCCCTGACACGCCAGCTTTGATTCAAATTTTCTCAACTGTAAAAGTATCACAAAAGATAAGTGCGAAATTCTTTTACCTTTGTTTTGACTAATAGTTGCTTCCTGTTTCGAAGAAAAACAGTCGGAAACATTTTAAACGTTTACGTTTGTAAGTTTATTCAAAATACTACGCTATTCGAGGTTTAGAATAAATTCTAGTAACTTAGAAAGAAAAAACTTATTTTATCAAGGAGTTAGATTTAATTCTCTTCATCTTTCATACTAACCTATGGAAATTTAAATGAATACCAATTCCGTAGGAATTAAGTTAATAGTCAATATTTGTTCAATATTTAGTCCCTATTTAATTCATCAAATTATACTTTGTAGAATGCAGTTACAAAATTTTAATTTGTTGGTTTTAAATATTTATGAATGAGGTGAATATAATTTTAATGAATAAAATGAAAATACTTTGAAAGTTTCAAAGCATTTTCTAAACTTCGTCAAACTGTATCAAAGTTCTTTGAAGAAAAAGTAAAAGTTACTAAAATTAGGTTTTGGTAACTAGCTTACATAAAATAAGTTTAAATGAATAAAATAAATTTGTGATATAATCTAGTATTAATTTGAGACATAATTCGGAATTCATCCAATTTTCCTTTGAATAGCAGGAAAAATGGGAGAAGAAAAATTTTATTACAAAGCCGACAATGAACAGCCGACAACTTTTTTGGTTTACGCCATAAATGCTGAGGGCAGTAGTTTTTTTTTTAAATTTTTTTTATTACCGTCGTTGAACAGCAGACAAAATTTTGAGTTTACGGCTACTAATGTTCCACTCCATTGCCTTGTAATTTTGAACTCAATCCAGAAGGCAAGGGAACTTCTGGATCAGTTTCCAAGAGGTATTGATTTGTTTTGGGAACATGGAATACTTTGTGACCACAACAGATTTCACGTGCACCAGTCACCATTTAATACAAGGGGATTCTTCGGCGGTTGGATTCAAACTTCCATTCTCACAAACCTGAGTCCAACACCCTACCAATCTGGTTATCCCTGCCCTAACGCAGTATTCTTGTAATTTTGAACCCAACCCAGAAGACAAGGTATCAAATATTAGGACGAATTAACCTTAGTGGAAGAATTTTTGATTAAACTACCCACACAAGGAGAGAAACACCACGAAAACCTCCCAAGGAATCCCAGAAGACAAGAGGATTCTAACCCATGATCCTTATACAGCAGAGGATACTTTTACGCGAGCACTGTGGTCTGTGCGAGATGGGAGCAAAGTTCGTATGAATCAGCCATCGCTGAGATTCGAACCTGGACCACCTTATTGAAAGGAGAACGTTCTGTCCCCTGATCCACCAAATTAACAATGAAAAAAAGCAACATGGAAAGTGATTTTTGATGCTCTATAGTTATAAAGATAAATCGCATTGTTAAAAAAAATTATATTTCAGCATTAATTAAAATTAGATTTCATTCCATACAATGACACGTTTTTTAGCACAGAATGGGCAGACGTTATATTAAAAGTTAAGAATAATTCAGTAATATGTAAAACTCATTAATTAAAAATTCTACTCGTCTGAATAATGTTTAACTAAAGTCCCTTTCCCTCTACTGATTCTGTTTAAATTTTCTGTCCAATGAATAAAGAACCTACAAAATGTATCATGCAAAAACTATGTTTGTATAAACATATATTTCATCATCATTTCATATGCTCATTCTATGTAAAAGGACTCAAACTATTTCAGGTTGAAAAACTATCGAATTACTTCTAACAACTCAAAACAAAAATGTTAGAAACATACGCCTTAAGTGTTTAAATTATTATTACAAAAAACAATTTTCGAAAACTGATTTCGGTAGAAATAGAGTTCCACAAATAAGCGAAAAAATGACGAAATTTGGGCATGTATGGCACTTTCAATAAAAATTTCATTTTATTGCTTTTGTAGAATTTGTAAGTATTTGGCGAAACAAAGCGAAAAAGAAAGAAAAGACAATTGTGTTAAGTTATAAAAATATAAATTCAAAGTAGGTTAATAATTGCGTTTAAATTAAAATGAATAAAATGAAATAAAGTCTGTATAAAAATATTTGTAAATTCATGAATAAAATTTTTTTTCTTCATACAATTCTCTATAGATTGAAATGGAAGTTAAATCGTTGTGCAAAATGGAAACTACGTCTAGATTTGTTCGTAAAAGTAAATGGGAGTTAAGTTGGAAATGTTATTAAACTTGTTATAAATAATTTCTACAGATAGGGGTCTTAGAATAGGTCGTAAGTCATTAAAGAATTTAAAAATAACCAAACGTTTAATTTGTATAGAATTTTAACTTTTGTTTCTAGATTTGAAGCTGGAATATGTAAGCAAATCATTAAATCTAAAGACATTTAATTAATGAATTACAATTGATGTGAAGAGCAACATATGCATACAAAGAATTCATAAATACTTAAAACATATTTGCTTTGTTAAGTAACTTATAAAAGCAAACCTAACGCAAATAAAAAAAGCCATAATAGCATACATGTACTAAATCTAAAAATAATTTCGATTGAAGAGATGAAATTTCAGTCTACATATAAAATATAAATTCTGGCAGTAGTACTGAAATACTTAAATTATTTACATTAAAAATTCCAAATTATTTTAAATTATGACATAATATAATAATAAGATTATGAACAAAATAAAAAAAAATATGAAATTTTATATAATTATCTATGCAAATACATTTTGATAAGAAGGAATCATAGAGGACAACGGATTTTTATACATAAAGATACAGTACGATTCAATTTGTGTTATTAAGTTATGTATTTGTAAAGTTACAAATTAAATACAATATTACAAGGTTTCATTTTGACAATTTCTTATGGCCATTAATATTATTGAATATCATCAAATTTTGAACATTAAAGATTTTTTGTTCAACGGATAATATTTTTATTATTATTGCTAAATTATAAATATAATGATGAACACAACTTATAGTCAACAATTATTTTAACACTAACTTTAATATCATAATAAACATAAATTCGTTATATCATTGACAATTAAAACATAAAATTTCAAATTTTAATGCTATACTTTATCTTATAATGAATATGCTCAAATACTATCAAATTTTTAACATTTTTGCCTTTTTATAAAAAGTTATAATGAGAATCTGATTTTATTATTGCATTTTATATAATCACATATAATATTATAAAAGTTATCATAACTCCATCAGCAGTTTTTTTTAAAAATTATCACCTTTATATCATAATAAATTTATAATATGAATGTCACTGTTTTTCTATGAGTTTTTTAATAGAAAGTTTTAAATTTCATAATTAAATTTCTTATCATAAATATTCTCAAAAAATGTCTCAGGATTTAAAACTATCAGAAATACACTAAAAAATGTTCACCCCCCTACAATATAAATTGATTTTTATACTATGGGAATAAACGTTAATTTCAATGGAAGGTGAGGAGAAAGCGAAAATCGCCTACCTTAAACAATCCTTAATGTCTGAAATGAGAAATCAGATCAGAAGTGAAACTGAAGAGACAAGTTTACGGAGGAATGAATGAATGATCATAAGGTAGTGAAGAAGGGTAAACTGAACAGGTTGAAGGATAGTATTTTCATTTTATAGCTTCACACTCGATGGCCTAGTTGCCTGTTCAGTTGGAACGGCCGGCTCAAACGAAAAGATGCCCACTGGCACGTGCAAATACATTGTTGGAGAGAGTGATGATATTGTTTCATGGATAATGTTGATTGAATATTGTTTCTAGAAAATGTTGTTGGAAAGGGTATCAGATATGTCTCTAACTTAATATATTTTATTTAACATCATGTGCGCTAATACTTGTCTGTGTTAGAAATTAACGAAATTTTAAAGACAAGTTGCTTTCGAATCGAAAACTGTATTTCAGTAAGAATTAAAATAACCTATATCATGACAGCACATGTACGAATTTTTTAGAATTGTCCAATGCAATTTCTTTGAAATAAAAAAAAGATATTAGTCTAAAAATGATGATCTACCACTGGTCAATCTGCCTTGTTTTAGTTGTCTTGTTAGAAATTTATAAGACTTCAAAAGTAAGTTGCCATTAACTTGAAAATTGGGTTACAGTAAGCATAAAAAAAACTATACTATGACAACACATAAGCAAATTTTTTATATCGTAGGATAGTGTTTCCCAAACATATGGCTTTCGTGTACCCTTTCTAAATTTTTCGTAATGCTCTGTACCACTAATACAAAATAAATGTATTTTTTATTGTAAGAAAATTGCCCAAAAGTTAAAAATCACAATTGGCTGTTGATACCCCTAAACTATTAACTGTTAACTCTGCAAAAAATAGCCAATAGAAAAATACTTAATCGTAAACTTTCATGGCTAACTTTGTTTTTAAATGAAATTTTCGTTTGTTGCAAGATATTTCGCATAAGTACACGTACCCCCGCTAAACTGTTCCCGTACCCCTGGGGGTACGCGTACCACACTTTGGGAAACACTGTCGTAGGATGTCGTAGGATGCAAATTTTTAATATCGTATGATGTAGGATTTTTTATATCGTTTTGTTGTAGGATTGTCCAATGCAATTTCTTTGAAATAAAAAAAAAACATGTGAATTGGAAAAATATGCTCGACCACTCGTCAGTCTGTCTTATTTTAACTTAGAAATTTACAAGATTTCAAAAGTAAGTTGCTTTAATTTACTAATTTAGTTACAATAAGAATACAAAAGAAAAAAAAACTATGCTATGATAATACACGAGCGAATTTTCTATCCCTATGCTGTAGGATTGCCCAATGAAACTTCTTTAAAAAAAAAGAAAAAAGGAAGTAAAACTAATAAAGATGCCTTACCACTGGTCAGTCTGTCCTGTTTTAACTTAGAAATTTACGAGGACATAAAAACTGGCCATAAAACATTTTCCCTTCATATTTTTTTGATAGAAATATATTTTCGTAACTTATCAACATATATATTTTCTAATGAAAAATTTCTTAAACAATTATGCTTTTTATAACAGATAATCACAGATAGTTTATTTTCTCTATAGAATAGATAAAAATGAAATATTCCTTTAACAAGTTTTTTTAAAAATCTTATCAAGGTGAGTAGTAAACCTGTGATAGTAACACGCTGCAGTATTACTGCAGATTATTGATTGTGATAAAGGTTAGATTATATCGAGTCATGAGGTATAAAAACAAAGCTCATGAAAATATGCTTTTTGCCTTCCTTGCTTCACTTCTGAAATGTCTTGCAACCTCAACTTTGAAGCTTGCTAGAAAGTCAAATTCAAAAATTATTATTTCAGGGCTTTAAATTTTCAAATTTTATTTTATGTAGAACAGTTTTTAAGAACATTTTTCCGAAAAACAATAAGATTTCTATTTAGACAATAAGATATTTCCGCATAATGAGTTGCTATTGTAAAACTTATTAAGTACCTACCTGGAAACTCTACTAAGTTTTATTTGGTTTCAAAATTTCATGTTTGGGAAAATGTGTGGTATGACCTTATTGCTCCAACTCATTAAAAAATATCAAAAATATTAATGACACAGAAGTTTACAATAGCAGACGGAATTGTCGTTGTAATGAACTGGTCTCATAAGAAAATACACTTGTTTAATGCTGAAACAACAATAAATTTACTGATATATGAAATAGACACCTTAACCTTGTTTGGCTTGCAAGAAGAAAACTGAAATGAAGTACTGTAGTTTTAGATGTCATCGACAACATTGTACATTTATCACATTAGAAGCTACCAAGAAGATAAATAAAAGGCCATTTTAATCATATGATCAACAAAAGGCTCATTGTATGAATATATGACAAGTTTCTTAAAAATATCAGCACAATTTTGTTGTTTTGAGGAGACAGATAACTTGGCCTGTGGTCACCCACACATAATTCTATAAACATAAGGGCAGAATCCAACTATAGTTCATTCTATACTTTTCTGTATTGAAATCAAAAACGAATAAAAATGCTTACTTTTCCCCGCTTTTCGTATAATTTTGTTCACTTCATTAAAAAAAAAATGTTATTTCCGTAAAAAAAAAAAAAAAAAAAAAAAAAACTGTTGCAATAGCGAAAGTTTAGTAATTTTAAATTCGCTATAAACATACAGTTATGAAAACACGCTGTAATTCCGGACTTCTCGTAATATGCAGGGCTCCTTACATCGAGCTTTTACTGTTTTTGTAATATATGAAAATATTGGGGGAATATATTGAACAGTTACATTATTTTCAAAGATGATATTTTTCCATCAAACAAATCCGAATTACCTTTAAATGAAGTATTTAAAATTGAGCCGACCGACCTGTGTAGGGGGCAGGGAACTATCCTTGCATCAGAAAGGTCCTGGGTTCGNGTTATGAAATAGACACCTTAACCTTGTTTGGCTTGCAAGAAGAAAACTGAAATGAAATACTGTAGTTTTAGATGTCATCGACAACATTGTACATTTATTACATTAGAAGCTACCAAGAAAATAAATAAAAGGCCATTGTATGAATATATGACAGGTTTCTTAAAAATATCAGAACGATTTTGTTGTTTTGAGGAGACAGATAACTTGGCCTGTGGTCACCCACACATAATTCTATAAACATAAGGGCAGAATCCAACTATAGTTCCTTCTATACTTTTCTGTATTGAAATCAAAAACGAATAAAAATGCTTACATTTTCCACTTTTCGTATAATTTTGTTCATTTCATCAAAAAAAAATGTTATTGCCGTAAAAAAAAACTGTTGCAATAGCGAAAGTTTAGTAATTTTAAATTCGCTATAAACATACAGTTATGAAAACACGCTGTAATAACGGACTTCTCGTAATATGACATCGAGCTTTTATCGTTTTTGCAATATATGAAAACATTGGGGGAATATATTGTACAGTTATGTTATTTTCAAAGATGATATTTTTCCATCAAACTAATCCGAATTACTTTAAAATGAAATATTTAAAATTATAATTATTTAAAATAAATATTTGAAGCACTCGGAGCCATATCGTGTTAAGTCCAGTTTTTACTAGTCATATTTTTTACATTCAACTGATTCAAGTTTGTTATTTTTTAAGTTTTCGAAACTTCCAACAGTACAGCAAGCAGATTCTTTTACTGCTTACACTAATGCTTCTTGTAAACCTCTTGCTTGCACAGACTTAGAAAGAAAGCATGGTTGAAACTACCAGAATACAATAAAATTTAACCGTGTTTCTGGTTTTTTGGGAACACCAAAAAAGCATGGTAATTTTTATTGAAACACTTTGGTAATGAGTTTGGTAAAATTAAAAATAAAATATTGTTTTAATTATATGTGATAAAATTTAATAAATGCAGCAAAATTTTGTAATTTTATGATGATACCTTTGAAAAGGACATAAAAACTATTTACTCGGTTTTATTTTATCATTTATTCTGAAATTTAGCTTTCAGTTTTGTATGTTTATTAAGTGATTCATAATAAGCACTATAATTTTGAAAACCAAAATTCCTGGTAAACCATTAGCATAAAAATGGAAACTGTTACCATATGAATGGTTTATATAGCGTATATTTTGGTTTCATTTTCACCACGCTGAGTGGTAATATTGCCGGAATTTTTTTCAGATCAATTTAAAAATGTGGGTCATCATTTACATTGCATCAGGCTCTTCGTATATGTTAATTATTACATTGGTTTATAGTTATAGACTGAATTATTAAACACTTAACCATTTTTAATAATAAATATTCCCATTTAATTTAAGAAAATAATTACTTTCTCAGTTTTCCAAACAGCCCATTTTCCAAATAAAATAATTTAAATAATAATTTAAACATTTAATTGTTTTGTGCAATTTAACTGATGTTGATATTGTGGAGTCTTAACTTCCACGACCTATTTAGCTTACTACAAGCTGTAGCGTGTTAGCTTTGCTTTTAATTTATTTATAATTTATTATTTTTTCTATCATAATTTATCCTTTTATCTTTAATATTTTTTTTAATTTTGGTTTTGTATCACTTTTAATGAACTATTTCAAATTTGATAAGCATTCATTAAATTCAACTAAAATCTGAAGAAAAATAAGCAAAAAAAATTATTATTTATATATTTAACATATTATTTTTAAACAAGCATTCAATGTCACTGACCGCAAGCTGAAACCAATTGCTTGTAAACATTACAACATTAAATTGAATTGTTTACATGATTGTTGGGAACATTTAGGATTTTATCCTGTTTACATAATGACATTTTCAACATCATTTTTTCTGTAATCTTGTCTTAATTACTTTATGATTACTGCACAACATTAATCATTTTAAATAATTGTCATTCCCATCTGTCTATTAACTATTTCAAAGACCTCTTTTCTATTTTCGTTAAAAGAATTCGTATTTTCTGCACGATTGGATGTAAAAAATCAGCAGACACCCCATCAATTGCTCCACATACTTCTTCGACGAGCGGAATCAGTTAAGGTTATTTAACCTGTGTCAAATTGAAATAATGAGTAAGGAAAAACATTATTTGTCACTTCAACAACTTGACAAGAATACGAACTTAAAACGAACGAACGGAACGAAACGAAATACTTTAAGGCAAATTATTTTGAAAAATTTGTTTTTTATCTTTAATTTATTCGAGTAAAATTGAAAATGTTATTATGTAAGAGCAGAGGTACTCAACCTA